ATGGCATCTACCCTTTCTGAATTTCTCTCTGAACTACTTGACTCAAGGGAAGGATTGCTGCTGCAGCTAGGATAGGCTGGTCCAAGGTGTCCGGAGCTGAAGGCAGCTCAAGCTCTGGGAGAGCGGAAGAAATGGGTTCACCTGTGATATTGCTGTCCCAGATGTGGTTTAGAGGGTGGCAGCAGGTTGTTCTCCAGGCGACAGGGCCAGATCCTCCAGGTGGTGGTGCTGAAATTCCAGGCAGCAGTGGGAGATTCGTGGTGGGGCCGGGGGATTGCCAGGCTAAGGAACCAGAGGCCTTCCAGGCAGAGGAGCCTCAGGCTAGTGCTGCAGGCAGGAGAGCATTCCAGGCCGCCCTGAGAACTTTTTAAGACAGGTCCCTAGTTAATCGACTGGATCAGATCTCTGGCTGCTCATGTAGTGGCAGCTGCTGATGACCCACCCCTGTTTATCTGGGTTTTATTCGTTGTAGTAGGATTGATGGATCAAACCGGTGCTTCAGATTCCCCAGATACTTCACAGGAGAGTGATGGGCAACACTCTTGTGGGATTCAACCTCAGAAAACCCGTGTGAGTTTTCTGAGTTGATTCAAATTGACAACAGTGGATAGAGTTGAATTGTTCTCCCTTAATTGCAGCTTGATACCTACTTTTTATCCTACCATTTGACTTTTAATTTATTTTGTTTTTTATCTGTGTTGTTATCTCTTAGTGATACTGAGTGACTATTTGTGTTTTCTTATCTTTTCCACTGCCCTTTTTCTACTGATTAATATGGCAAAGTTAAGATCTTTTTTCATGAGTTGTTGTGAATTGTAGTATACTTGATGACAACAAGAATGCATTTAAGCAATGCCTGTTACAGTGCCTGTAAGTTATTTTGTTTATATCATTTTGCTTTGTGTGTTTGGTGTTTCCAGTTTCTTTGTTTCATAAAAGTTTCTGCCTTCATTTTGTTTAAGGATTTTTCTTATCGTTTCCTTCAGCTTACTAAATTTCATACTTTTGGGCATCTTGTCAGAAGGGACCAATCCTTGGAAAAACAGGAGGCTGAAAAAGATCAGCAAAAGGGACAAAGCTACTCATTGTGATGGATTGACTCAGGATTTTAACAGTGGTTTTGAATAGAAAGGAAAACATAGGGGTAAGGGAATGGGAAGCTTAAAGAAGAGAAAGAAAGAAAAGAAGAAACTTGGATGTGAGCGGCAGCCAGTTAGTCTTACCGCCACTGCTGATAGAAGTGAAACCCACCTCGTCTAGCCTGGCTTGGTTGGTGGAGTGCGTGCTGACCTGACAGAAGGTTTAGAGTGAAGTTCCCCACCTGTGGCTCAAGGCAGGGTGACTGACTCAGGGTGGAGGGGGAGGGTATTCCAGGTGTGGTGCACAGCCAGTGATGGAACAGCTAGTGGTCTGGAGTGTGGCCTAGGGTAGGATGAGGCATCCCAAGAGGCAATGCTGCTGTTAGTCTAAGGGTTTGGTACACGCCAGGGACATGCCCACTTAGGTCCAGGTCCACCCCTCCACACACCTGACCTTGAGCCAGCAGCAGCACAAGAGTTATTGGCTCAGCTGGTGGGTGGATGCAGGACAGTTCCCCCCTTGAGCTTCAGGAGAATATGAAGATCAAGGGAGAGGTCACACCTTTGTTGTCACTGTCTGCCACCAGTGTGGGCACCACTATAGATAGCCCTCAGTTTCTACTTGAATTGAAAAGCTGCATTCAAAGTTAAAAAATGGTTATGTTGGGTTAAATGTTCACAACCATTCTGTCTCCAGCTTCGATGTTTTCATTCACTTTACTTCCTGTAGGTATTTGAACAACTACTTTTACTGAACATTTCCTTTTTTTCTGGGATTATCAAACATATCTCTTGTCTTTGTTTTCTGGAAATTTTGTTGTATAGGGTTTGAAATACCGTTTACCTGTTCTTCCATCTTGTGAAAAAATCTGTACCTTACTCTTTTAACTCAGAATTTGATCTGAGTTTAACACATTATATTTGGGTTTTCAATCATTTTAGTTCTTTCTAAGCTAAACCAGTACTCTTTTTCATTGCCAGAATTGAGTTTTTGTTGCTAAATATTAAGTCTGTTATTTTATGGGTAGGGTAATTTCTTTACTGTCAAAATTGTACAAGAAAGCATTTTTAAAGAACCTTTTTATTGACAACTTGAGTTTACAGAATATGTTTTATATCTACCCAGTTACATGTTTATGACAGTAAACTCCTGCATTATCACAGACTCTTCGTGCTGCTTCTGTGTGATTTCATTCACTTTCTGACCTGTTCATATTCCGCTTTCTGTCTGATCCCTTCCTGGGTTCTACACTTTCTCCTTGGGCACATTCTGCCCGTTTGCTCTTGTGTCATTGTCCTAAGAAGTGATCCATCCCTGGTGTCAGTATTTGTCTTGTAGGCCTGTCTGTTGCTTGGCTGAATGTTGAGACATGGTGTTGAAAACATTTTTAATCAAGGAATTCAAAGTAGAAATTCATAGCTCAATGGAGATGCACACCAGAACGATCCTCCAGATAGTACACTTTGCTGTCTTGTGCCCATGGCCTGTGGCTGGTGGCCATCCACATGTTGCCTACAGTTTTACAATTTTCTTCCAAAAACTTTATCTATATTGATGACCACATTAACAAACTACTATAACCTGGGTTCTTTTTATCTCCTTTCAGAGAACAAAGTTGTAGGAGAAAAGGACTTCTGTATTTAATGCATTATCAGTGTTTTTAAAAATCAAAGAAAACTTAATGACAGATAAAACTTCTGAATACTTGAATGTAGTTTGAATTTGAGATATTGAAGTTTTGACATAAATAATAAATTAGATGACATGAGAGCATGAAAGGATACAATATGAGGGCATGCAGTTGTAAGTCCAAATTAATGACTTACTAATTGTAGAGTTCTGTGCTCTTACTTTCTAATGCTAGTTTTAAATTAATTAGCTGACAGAAAAGAAAAAAAATTTGTGGCTTTCTAAAACCTTAAGAGATTTAAGTTGGTGAGACAAGGTATTTCCCTATCTGCAGTACTTCTTTTGTGGTGGTGGTGGTGATGGTGGTGGTGTGTTTCATTGAGTTGCCTGCAATTTACAGCAGTCCTGTGTACAGCAGCTCTGAACCCTGCCCTACACTGATCCAGTCTCATTGACTCCAACACATCTTCCCCCATTACTCCAGTTACCATGTCAGTTCATCTCATCAGGGTCTTCCTCTCCTGTGCTGTCTGTCCACCCTTCCAAGCATGTTGCCCTTCTCCTTGGCCACATACCCAAAGTATGTGAGACAGGACTTCAAAGTCTTTGTTTCTAAGAAGAAACTTGGTTTCCTCCATCCAAAACAGACCTATTTGGGTTTTGTTTTGGGTTTTGTTTTTTTGGTTTTTGTTTTTTGGGTTTTTTGGGGGGGTTTTGTTTTTGTTGTTTTTTTGTTTGGTTTTTTTTTTTTTTGAGTTCATGAAATGTTCAGTACTGTCTCCTGCAGCACCACAACTCAAATGCATCAGTTTTTCTTCTGTCATCCTTAGTCATTCTTGATCTCGCTCTGATGCATAGCAATTAATTGTAAAGACTATGGCCTGTATTAAGCGCACCTTAGTTCTTCAACTGACATCATTACTCTTTAGCTCTTTGGAGAGGTTCCTGACTGCTGGTGCCTACAGTGTTGCTTGCGGATCCGAGCAAGATGAAACTGGTAACATTTTCAGTCTTTTCTCCATCTTTTATGGTGTTGCCATTTGGACCAGTGGTGAGACTCTTTAACTTCTTGATGTTGAGCTTCAGTCCATATTGAAAATTACAGTCCTTGACTTTCTGCAGCAAACATTTCAGGTCCTCCTCCATTTCAGCAAGCAAGGTTGTGCCATCTACATATTGCAGGTTGTTGATGAGTCTTCCCCTAAATCTTGATGCCACACTCATAAAGCAGTCTTCAAATGATCTGTTCTGCCGATTGAAAAGGTATGGAGACAGGATGCATCCCTGATGCGCTCATTTCTCGATTTTCAACCTTCGAGTGTTTCCTTGCTCTGTTCTAATGTTTGTTTCCTGGTCCAAGTATAGGTTTCACGTGAGCACAACGAAATGTTCCGGGATTCCCATTCTTCTCAGCACACAGACAAATGTCTTTTCATATAGACATTCTCGGGTACCCTTTGCTTCTGACCAAGATCCATCCGACATTGGTGATAATGTCATTAATGTCACGGCCTCTTGTAAACTCAGCCTGTATTTCTGGTTGTTCTAGTGATTTCTAATAATCTTCAGGATTTTGCTTGTGTGTTTTATTAGTGATACTGTACAATTATTTCCACACTCTGTTAGATCATTTTAGGAATAAATACAGATTTCTTCCAGTGAGTTGGCCAGGTAGTTGTCCTCCAGATTTCTTGGCACAACCTGGTGAGCACCCGTTGCAGCATCTGTTTGTTAACATGAAACCACAGTAGTAATGCTAATGTTCATCTCTGGAATGCTAAGCTGTGGAAATGCTGAATGAATAATTTAACCATGAAACATTTCAGGCTACCGTATTTCTTCTAGGAAGTATAAAAATAAGAGTGGTTTTACGATACTGGTAAAATTGAATTCCTACTTTTGAAAATGGATAATTTAGAGTTGCTTAATTTATATGTTGTGCTGCCAACCCAAGACTTGCAGTTCAAATCCGCTAGCTGCTCCACAGTAGAAAGATGGACAGTCTCCTCTCATGTGCTTTGCATCAGCTGAAAACCTACTGAGGGTCGGCTATGAATAGGTGCTAGTTCGACAGTGCATTACATGATTGTCATTCATTCATTTAAACGTTATTGAACTAAACATTCACTTAGATACTTGGTTAAAGTTTACTTAAATTGCCAAATAGGTGTCTCATAAGCTGCAGTTGATTAGGATTTGTTGTTTTTTTCTTTGAGTCTAAATTAATAAGTTGCTTACTGACCATTTTATTTCATTATGTTTATGTCAGAATGTCTTTATTTCTTTTCCAGTTGCTGCCAAACAAGGTGAATCTGACCCAGAAAGAAAAGAAACGAGGCAAAAAGTAGACGATGACAGAAAGCATGAGATAGAAGCTGCTATAGTTCGGATAATGAAATCTAGAAAGAAGATGCAGCACAATGTGTTAGTAGCAGAGGTGAGAACTCACTTTGACTTATTGGAGAGCATGTTGAATCGTTCATTTCAGTTTTACATACTATATTTTACTGTTTTGGAAATAATTTTAAACATAGGAATAGTGTTCAGAACTTGTTTCTTTAAAAGCATTGTTTTCTGTGTGCAGCAGAATGTATAAAGTTAAGGTGGATGGCTTAGAGCATTAGGAAATTGTCAGAAGTTTGAAATAATGTCTCTTGAAGAATGAGGCTCAAGAACTTTGTGAACTTGAAAACTAAATGAGTTAGCAATCTATCTGTAGTTTGCAGATATCTTCTGTAAATGATAGTGTTAGCTAGAAACCAGTCATAGAAAATATGTATTTTGGATGTGTCTGTATTCCAATAAGAACTTAACGGTGGAAGGCCAGAGGTCTAGATTTGGGCTGTGGCTTATTGTCTGCCAACCACTGGTCTATAACAAATGATGTAACAGCCACAGCTTTGCTCAGCCTGGAATTCTGCAGTAGATTTAGAATGATGTAGAAAAGAAGGGTAGATCGAGGGCAGCTCTGTGGAAAATGTGTGATAGTATTGGGAGTAATACAGATGTTAGTCAGGTAGTAAAGTGCTGCCGTTTTACCTGCCCTAGGAAATGAACTGGTGAGCACAGAAAAGCAAAGCTGGTAGATGGATGGAGAAGCAAGATGAAATTAATGCAGCACTTAGAGTGAGGAAGTGAGATGGTCACCTCTTCTTCACTGGCTCTCCCATTTACTACCTGTTTACCTCAGTTTCCCTCTCATTAATGTGTTTTAAAAACCCCTACTTTTTGCAGAAGACCACTAAATTAATAGATTCACCCAGTGATTGATGCATAGCCTTAGTTAGCTCTGTTAGTTATGTTTCCTTATTGTTGCCAGTGTCATAGTAGCTGGCAGCCTGGCAGAAGTTGGTCTCTGAGTTTGAAAATGGGTAACACATTAGTTCTATTGAAAGAAAAGAACTTCTGTGTGTGTACGTAGGACTGTTAGTATTTTTTGAAAGGTTTTGTTTTTTTGATGTGTGTGTTTGTGGGAGGCTCTTGTTTTATTTTTTTTTTCAACTCCAGTAGAAATTCGTCTTCTCTCTTTTTAGGTAACTCAGCAGTTGAAGGCTCGATTCTTACCAAGTCCAGTTGTTATTAAGAAACGTATTGAAGGACTTATTGAGAGAGAATATTTGGCACGAACACCTGAGGATCGCAAAGTATACACATACGTAGCATAAAATGCGTTCAGAAATTTGATTTATTCTTGGACTGTACTCTTCGCATGGACTGGGAAGTTCTTTTAAATCATTAAATATTAAGACGACCATCTCTTCTATTAAATTGCAGTACATGTTCTAAACCATTCAGATCGAGCCTTTACTCCCTTTGAGAGTTCTCAACATCATTTGATGGAGCCTTCAGGCTTTTCAACGTTTATCTCTGTAGAGGTCATCTTTACAGTTCCTCGGGAAAATGTGAATGTGCCGCGTTTTGTTTTCAATACTGTATGAAAACAGGAAAAATAAAAATTTAGAAAATACAGCTCATTAAAATAAAATTGTTGAATTTCATTTTCCCAGGTCTTCAGTGTTGATGTAAATGTGTTTCTGTAGTTGCTTAGCACTTTGTGCATTGTATAAGTTGGGTACAAAAGTGGTCAAAGAAATGACAGAATTCCCAGTTATCTTGCTCTGCTTTAAGACATTTCTTTAGCTAGTCTTATTTAATTTAAAGCTTTGATAAAGTATACAAAGACCCGAGCATCCAATTTGAGCATGCTTTATTCTTCCACTTGCACTGATTTGTAGCCTTAGGACCAGGAACCTTTTGTTTTGGGCTCAGTATACACTCTGATTCGGCTTTTCCCTATTGTAATTTGAGATTTCCCAAATTAAGTCCTGTAATGATTAGGTTTTCTTCCCAAGTTATTTCTAGACAAAGAAAATATTTTAGTATGTATAAATTGTACAATAATTTTTTGCTGTTGTACTCACTGCTAATAGTGGATTGTATAGGGCGGTGTTTTGTTTCATTTCTTGTAGACAGAAATAAATGAAATTAGTATATACATACCCAATAATTCAAGTCTGTAAGAGCACAAAGTTGGCAGCTGGCTATATTTAATTCAGCCCTTTGAAAAGCACATACAGTCTCTACTTTGTTGATCAATATGTTAGGGTTCCTCCCCACTTTTCATATATATATTTTGGTGAAGCTTTGGTGCACTATTAATTTTGTTTTCAAATGCAATCTAAAGATGCAATAAATATGGTTACTTTGATATTTCTAATGAAATCTTCAGTTCTTGCAGCTGTGTTTTCGGAGAGTAAGCAATATTTCAAACCTGATGATTCTTGGATAGTTAGCTCTTTTCCTCCAAAAAGTCGTCATTTGATGTTTTCAAAGATGTGCTTTGTGCTGAAGATTCTTGTCAGTTACCCTGTGCTTCCAACTTTCACCAGTTTTTTACTTGATTTATCTGCCAAGGACTGTAGTTTGCTTTAACTTAAAAGTATTTTTATCTTCAATTTTATTTAATTCCATTTTGTTTTATTTTCATAAAGGACAATGTTTCAAATATGTAATTGGGGCAAACCACTAGAGATTTCTGTTGAGTTAGAAAAATGAAATGTTACTAATAAGTTCAAATAACCAGTCCTACCTTGACTATAACTGCTGTTGATACATTTATTAGAATGTATATCTCAGAAGATGGTTTCTGTTTAAATTTATGGTCAAATTAGAACAACTGAATTCTAATCTGGATTAAAAATGCCACATAAATATTTTTCCCCACGCGTCTTGGGTTATAATTTTCCTTTTCAGATTTGCAAATAATCTTCTATTGCTTTTAATTTTGTCTCCATTGGTACTATGCTCTTAATCTCTGTGTTTTCCACTTTTACATGATAAAATTAATACTCAAGTGATAAAAGTCATCTACACCCTCAGGACACTTTTACCATACTTTAGGATAGTAAGCAGGCTAGGTATAGCATGGGAAGCTACAGGGGGTTTTTATAAGCTTCCATAATTAGAAACAGTGTAAGATGCTTAACTAATACAATCGGGTTTTGGTGTTGGTTTGTTGGTTGTTATTTTTTTAAATTGCTCTAAATTCCCAAATAACAGGTATATATAGTGGAAAATGGAGCAAGTCTGATTGTCAGGGTAATAGATGAAAGAAGTAAAGATGTCAGTTTTGAAACTTAAAAGACAGTAAAACCATTTAATAGTTAAAACTATTACATTTAAGTTAAATTTATGACAGTCTTGAGTGTGGTTGTATAAATCAAATCCAGTTGAGAGATAACTTGTTAATTTTGGAACAAGTTTTATATTTATGCTTTCAAATGTTTATAAACATGACCTTTTTAAGTTACAGTTGAATGATTGGGAAATGCTAGTGATAGCTGCACTGAGAAATTGATAACCTAAAGCTTTCATGGTTTTGCTTATAAAACTAATGAGATATTTGGATACTGGTTTCTTGTCAACAAAAGATCGTTCATGGTTGGCTAGGAGTTTTTTTGTTTTGTTTAGGAATAAATATATCCCAATTATTTCATCCTGATTGTGTGAATAAATTTGGCAATCTGAAGAATTTTAAGAGAGTGGGTGCATAGTTTTCCATCTGCAGAAGTCATAAAATATCTTCATTAATTGTTAAACTGTAATTCTCTGCTTTCACTTTTTCATGACTGGTTTTTTGGCTTTGTTTTTTATATATTATTTTAAATTGCAGTTAGGGGTCACACTGCCTCACAAAATAAAAAGTGGTTGTGGTTGCAAGGATTCTTCATGTCAGTTAATTTAAAAGAGAGTAAGGGTAGGGATGCATGCCATCCTGGCACATCTCTAAAGAATATGTAAGAATTTCTGTGCGACAGGAGCCCACACAGATACCAAGGTGCTACATGCTTGCTGGTAAGAATCCTTGTCCCACTGTTGGTGAGCTGTCCATCCAGTATATTGGGAACCAAGAAAGACTCGGGTAAGACCCATTGTTTCCATTACACCTGTGTCTCTCCAGGGAGCTCTGGTAGTTTAATCCACAAAGGCAGTACCTCTTTGAAGTACATCATCTCCAGGAATGAAAGATGGGCACGTTCCCAGGATTTATAAACCTACTGAAATGTCAAATATGATCTGCTTCCCACTCAGTGGCAATGAGTTTTGTCTGTAGAAGACTAGAAGATTGGCATCATCCCTAGCTTCTATATAGAACTTACTTTGTTAGCTTAAATAGCTAAATCCAGATAATGCTATATATGCCGTTTTCACTTGAATAATTGTCTAATGTTACATATCTATGTCTTTCCACTAATGATAGTATTTGTTTTTCATAAATTCCCTGGTGTGTAATACTAGGATGTCAGAGTCTAGGAAAGAGTTGTTACATTTCAACATTGTAGAGCTTATGTTGTACTGCATGGTGCTTCTTAGTATTATACTATTAATAAAAATGGTAAGACAAGAAGTTAGCAAAATTAGTATGAATTGTTCTCAAAGCAGGAATAATTACATCCTAAACATTGTTTGACTAGGGTTATGGGGGTCGGTGTGTTAGATTGGCACTGGATAAAGCAGCATTTGGGGCTGGTGTACATGGGGTCACTGAGTTATTGATGATATAACAACAACAACAAACAATGTTTGATTATTTTCCACATGTCATAGACATCTGTGAGCTTTGCATATATTGATTAGTCTATAGCAGTTCAGTGTGCTAAGAACCAATATTGAACAAGTATTGCTCAAGATTACGTCTCTAACATATCCAGGCATCTGCCCTGGGGTTAGGGTTCGGAGCTTATATTCCCTATTGCAAGTTGACAGTTTTTCATTTTAAAACTTCCCTATTCCATTTTGTACTGGGTTTATATGATGGAAAGGTAAAATATACAGTAGAGGTAAAAAGGTAACAGATGAAGAATACCAATATGGACTTTGATATATTTTTATTTTCTGAATACTGACTGGCAACTTTTGGAAGAAAAACTAAGGAAATGACAGATAAAGTTCTGGATTGTGTCTATTTAGAAGAAAAACATTTCCTCAGACATTGTCACAATCTTAATGAGAAGTTTACGGACCTCTTGGAGATAGCTCAGGGAATACAAACAGCTAGAAAGTCCTGCAGAGTCATTTTAGTAGCTTTAGAAATGAAGTATTCATTCCGTAAACATGTCTCTAAGTGATTGCTCTTCAGTATTAAAAACTAGGTTGACTTTAAACAAAAACAGTTCATAAAATTTATGTGTGAATTGATCAAAGAAACCCGTGTGTGTGTGTGTGGTGGGATTTTTTGGTTGGGTTTTTTGTTTTGTTTTTTGTTTTTTTGTAACATCAAACTTTTAAGCATTTAAGTAGCAAAATTGAGGTCAAGTAATATATAAAGCATTACACACAATTCTTGCAGTGTGGGAACTGAAATTCTAAGCATCAAGATTCTTTTTACTGTTAGAATTCTTTAAAAGCCTCAGCACAATGTCTGGCATGTGGTGGGCGAAAGCATTTTGCATTTCAGATTACTAAGTGTCATAAAGTCTTAAAATTTAAGTTGGTAAATTAAAATTCATCACCGTTAGGAATATGACATAATGTTCATGGTATAAAGATACTATTCAAAGATTAAATCTCCATTTGTAAGGTGTTATTTGTATTCATGTACAAATACACAAATATATATTTTTATATATAAACAGTATCAATTTTGTAAATAGATATTATTTGATCTTTGATTTACAAGTAAGTTTCGGGGCTTTTTTTGGTTGTTTTTAAAAAAATTTTAATTTTTCATAAATATTTCTTTATTTAAATTAATGAATGTTTACAGATATTTTGGATTTCCATACATTCACGGTTGCATTTTTCTCCCTACCCACCTCTCCCCCCAGTTTGCTGTATGAAAAGTAAAAGAAAAAATATTTCATTGGTATAGAATCCCATCCCACCCACCCCCCTAAGTACTCTCCACTATGCAACCTTTCTGGACTCTTGTCATAACCATAGTACACAATCATATATCGCTTTCAAACAGTTCTCTCTCATCTGTTTCAATGCAGTATACATTATTGAACCCATCTTTCTCAGTTCCCCCCCTGACTGTTTTACAACAGTGGCACCATGCAGTATTTGTCCATTTGTGACTGAGATACTTCACTCAGCATAATGTCCTCCAAAGGTCACCCATTTTGAATATTTCATGAGTTCCTTGTTTTCCAGTGCAGCATAGTATTCTATATAGTGTGAATATACCACAGCTTCTCTATCCATTTGTTTGTTAATAGGCACTTAGGTTGTTTCCAACTCTTTGCTATTGTGAGCAAAGCAACAGTAAACATGGGTGTGCATATATCTGCCTGGCAGTTATGGTTTTTTTAGGGTATATTACCAGTAATGGAATTGCTGGGTCAAATGGTATTTTGCAGTTTTTTGAGAGCCTTCCATAGTGGTTGCACCATTTTGCACTCCCACCAACAGTGAATAAGGGTTCCACTGTCTCCACATCCTCGCCAGCATTTGTTGTTTGCTGGTCTGTTAAATTTTTCTTACTGGGGTGAGATGCTAT